GAGTAATCTGAGTTTGTCCCATAACATCCATACAGTGAGTCCATAAAATAACACATAAAATTACATAGCCCCCAGGAGAAGAACTCCCCACATCAACATTTTCAGTATTATAACAATTCAATACATTCAGTTAAGTTTCTATAGCAAATTTACAAACAAGAGCAAACTGAAACCTTTCCCTATACAAACATACAAACAAACAAACAAACAAAGAACACAGGAACAGACGGGGGGCCCCCAAGAACAGCCTTCCAACTCCGTGGAAGCGGCGCCTAAAACTAACCGACGGCCTCACACCGACTACCTCGTCCTGAGAGGGAATTCTATGTCCCTCCTAAAGGAGGATCAAAACGTCTTTTGATCTCTCCAGCCCGTGGTCTTCAACAGCGCGTCCGCTAGACCTCTCGGGCACTTCCCACAGGGATCCCTTCACACACTTTTACCGCGGCCAGACAGGCTCTCCGGATTCAGAGTCCCTCAGTCTTGGAGATCCCGGACGAGCCCCCATATGTAATGCCCAAGTGTCATAAACCCCAAAGACTACCAGGGAGCCGAATCCGATGCAATTGCAGAAAGCCTGTATTTATTTCGGACTAGTCGGAGCCCAGTCTCACCTACACCAACGAGGGCATGGGCGAGAAAGAGGAAGAACTTAACATATCAATGGGTTTTATAGGGAGGGTGGTGCCGCTACCTTGGCTGACCTGATTGGTTGGGTTAGGCCTAGGGTCCAGTTACCTGGAGCTGGACCCGCCCCACCCTGCCCTCTCACCCCGCCCTGCCCCCTCACCCCGCCCTGCCCTCTCACCTGGCACATAAATAAGTTTTCAGTAAATCACAGTAGTATTGTGGTGATTTTAATTTTTATCCATATTATGGAAGGATCAGGAAGAGAAAGAATGTTCAGCAAAGACTGAGAACTAGGCACAAAAAGCTCTGGGAGGGGAAACTATGAGACCGATGTCTTGGAAACCAAGGCAGGGAAATGTATAGAAGGAAGGAGATAATGCAAAAGGTTATTCAAAGGTTAGTTTCTCCTGACAAAAAAGCTCATTTCATGCCTGAGCAACTAATGAGAATGAAGGAAAAAAGGAAGGAAAATACCTATAAGAAGGCTATCAAACATAAAATTCTCTAAAAGCCGTACATTGGCTAACTCTTAATCTGATCAGAATGCCCTATTGTGCCTTGTCTTCCAAATAAAGAGAATACATATTTCTTGAATAAAGGAAAAGCCAGTTTCACATAAAGTGAAATAAAGTTTCTGGTTTTCATCATTTGAGTGAAATGGTTATGAATTTTTGAAGGACATAGAAAGACGGTTTGAAGGCTAATTTGAAAGATGAAATAGAGGGCTAGAGACCGGGATGCCAGGACACAGGCTTTATTGGTGGAGAATACTCCTTCCGGGCTGCCTTCCAGAGGAGAAAGAGCACACATGCTGGGGTGAACACGCCTTTTGAGGGGAGGAAAAGGAAGGGACCAGGCTTAGGGCACTCAGCACTCAGCTGACTGGTGGTTTCATGTAAGGCACATGATTAGGAATCAGGGGCTTAGGGTATTTGGCAGGTGCTGATTGGTGGTTCAATGTATAGTCCATATAAGGTGCTTTGTTAGGTGCTCAGTTCGGACTGCAGGTGGAGTTTATGTCATTCTCCATCCACAAGTTGGGGGAAGGGAGGATCTATAAAAAATTTTACACAATTTCAAGTTTACACAACAAAGAGGATGGAGAAGGGCCAAAGGGGGATGAATCAGAGAAGTTTTCAAAGCAGCAATCTATACTGAACCCCAAAGCAGCTCCAATGAAAAGGAGGATGGTGGAAAGTGTAGCATTTATTTTTCCTTTTACTTTACATGGGCCCAGAAATAAATTATGATAGCATGGATTGTTTATCTGTGTAAGTTATTCAGTGTGGGAAGGATGTGGAAAATTATTGCACTCTGAAGTAGAAGAGTAGAACAGCATTTCCCTCACCACTTACCTTTTTTTAAAGATTTGTTATTTTTTAATTCTCACTGGAGGATATTTTCTATTGATTTTCAGACAAATGGAAGGGTTGGGAGGAAAAGAGAGTGAAACCTCTGTGTGAGACACACTGATTGGTTGGCTCCCACAGGCAACCTGACCAGGTCCAGGGATGAAATCCACAACCCAGGTACTTGCCCTTGACCAGAAATCAAACCCTCAACCCTTCAGTCCCCTGGCTGACACCACTGAGAATAACTGGCCAGGGCCCATCACTCATCTTTATTTAGGTGCAGGTAAAAGTTGGGGAAGAAGTCACTTGGGAGGACAGCTGGGAAATTAGGAGGCCCAGTGGCTTTAGGAGCCTGAGTGGAGCTACCTCCTGCCTGGGGTGAGGAAGGTGTCCCTTTGGCTTTGGAGAGATGGAGGTCACTGCCAGGGCCCCAGAGGGATGCAGGGAGTAGGCCTCTTTAGCTTTTACTCCTGGCCAGTACTCAGCTAAAGAGTCCCAGGCAGAGGGACCCTCAGTCTCTTGGTCAAGGGGTGAGGAGGTGGGGCTTACAGTAAACATGGAATGTGGGGTGGGGAAGGGGTGATGGCACATCTGGGGAGTCTGAGCCTCTACCCCCCTCCACCAAGAGAGAGTGTAAGTGTGTGGCTTGGAGTGGGGGCATTATAAAATGAGATTGTGGGGTCCTGGATGGAGCAGAAGTAAGACGCCAGGGAGGAGCAGAGGGGTGATTCTAGAAGGAGGAGCCCTTCAAGTCAGGTTCTGGGTGCAGCAGTCCAGGGAAGGCTGCAGTGGGCTTCTTGCAGTACCTGGCTTTTCCCCTCCCCACCCTCTGGGCCTCTGAAGTCTTTGTCCCTATTAAGTGGGCCACCAACTGCTAGCATAACTAGAGCCCCAACATCTCACTCCCCTCAGGACCACAGGATCCAGAGTTTTGTGTGAAACCTCTGGGTCTGTGGTTCCTACAAGGCTTCCTGTCAATCTAAATGTGAGTACCCAGCCTGGTCATCTGCTCCTACCCGCCTCCTCCTCTCTCTTACTCATGCATCTATGCTTCCTCTTCACACACCATCTTTCACTGCAGTGGTTCTTTCAGCTTAGCAGAGCTCCTATTTCCTTCCTGAAAAACGCCCTCAGGTTTGCATTTATTTCACTCCACTCCCTATCTTAAAGGAAATCACCTCCCTACCAACCTTGTGCCGCTCACAAGGAAAGAAACTGATAAAACTGCAAGAAACATGGGACCCTTAAGGACTGAGGTCACATGGCATTTTTAAAATTTTCCATCAGAGGATACATTTCTATTGATTTTAGAGAAAGAGGAAGGGAGAGAAATATGGGAGGAGAGAGAGAAAGAGAGAGAGGAGAAACATTGATTGGTTGTCCCCCATACTAGCCCCAACCTGGGACCAGAGCCTAGGTATGTACATGACCCGAAATCAAGCCCACAACTTTTTAGTGTATAAGATGACACTCCAACGATCTGAGCCATGTGCCCAGAGCACACATTTTTTTTTATCACCCTCCAATCTGAGGCCATGAAATGGAGCAGGTCAGGAAGGTCCTTCTATGCCTTCTCTCTCCTTTTAATGCCCTTAATTCTAAAATGTTGCGTGAGTTTTCTAATTTCCTTTTTTTTTTTTTTTTTTTTTTTTTTACATGCACTGACATCCAGATTGCTTTTCATCCCTCCCTGGCTATTCCTACTCTTGGGTTGGGGTGAAGTAAGCTTGGAATCTTTGGGCTGCTGGTGTCCTCTAGCATGCAACTAGGGTAAAGCTTGGAAGTCCTCCGGGTATCACACTCTTAAGAGTAGCTAGTTTATGTGTAATTAGGGAGGAGGTAGAGATGGTATTGTAAACCCAAAGGACAATCTTGTTGCTGCTTCCAGGCATTGTCCAGAAGCAGCAGTAGCAGTAATCTATGAAAACTACCCAGGAAGGGAAGAACTGTCCCTTCCCAAAGTGAACAGGAATGGAGTCCCTGAAGATTGACAGGAAGCCTGGAACTGCAGAGCCAGAGGTTTCACACAGAACTCTGGACCCTGTGGTCCTGAGGAGAGTAAGATGTTGGGGCTCTTGCCATTTTTGCCCCTACCCCTGTCCCATCATCAGATTTCTCAGATGCATTAAAGAAGAAAGCATTGGGACATTATTATCAAGTGGATGGGGACTTGACTCAGTGACTTAGGAGAGAAATCAATTGTGATAAGGGGCTCTTTGGAAGGTATTCAGTCTTTTTCAGCTTCCCTTTTCTTCATGTCTAAAAATTCGACTTCAGAGTATGATGCTCCTAATTAGAGCTTCTATATTTAGTTTTCCTATTTTTCTTCTATATTCCTAAAAGTAATACCACACAGACATTAAACCTGATGCTTATATATATTCATTGACATAAAAAGTCACCACATATAGCTTGGTGAAAGGATGCACAATATATAATAGAACAGCACTTATATTTGATCACTTTTATGTATACATATATCTGGGTATATAATTATAAGTAAATATCCAAAAGGACATTCATCAAAGGGTTGACAATGGTTATGTGAGTGGAGAGTTTCAGGTGATTTGTATTTTAGTTTTTCTATTTTCCTACATTTTAAAAGGTTTAACCAAGTGTTCTACTCCTATCATAAAACAAATAAAATCAGCAAGGAAATAGATGCAGAGAAAAGACTCTTAAGGAGACAGAAGAAGGAGCAGGGACAGAGGTCAGGCCATCCCCTCCACTTTGTTGGTATCCAACACCTCCTCATCCCCCCAAAAAAACCACTTTGTGGCCGAAACCAGTTTGGCTCAGCGGTAGAGCATCATTCTGCGGACTGAAAGGTCCCAGGTTCGATTCTGGTCAAGGGCATGTACATGGGTTGCGGGCACATCCCCGGTAAGGGGTGTGCAAAAGGCAGCTGGTCGATGTTTCTCTCACATTGACGTTTTTAGCTCTCTATCACTCTCTCCTCCTCTCTGTAAGAAAATCAATAAAATATATTTATTTAAAAAAAACACTTTGTGAATTAATTCATGCAGAAACCTACCCCCATTTTTATCATCACCAGTATTTTTAATATATCTAAGGATTCACTAAGGGCTGGGTCTATCACCTTACTGTAGCTCAGAGAGGTCATTGTTTTCACTGGGTACCTCTTTTGACTCCTCCTCCTCTTCTGTAGGTATCAGCTCATGCAGGGTGATAATCAAGTTCTCAAATACTTGGGCCTTGTTGCTCTCATTGTCACAGGTTTCCTTGGAGTGGCCCTCTTTCCACAATATGAACAATGGGTTGTGTATTTTTGCTTCCTTGCTCTACGCATATCCCCAGGACCATCATTCTTATACCCAGAACTACCACTGGTGGAAGGAGACTGAATCTGGGAACTGTTGGGGGAATCAATGACCAGAGTCTGATCCTGAGGTAGGACCCATAGATGGAAGTGGAGGGTCCACCAAGATCACATCCTCATCTGAGTCACTGAGGATATCATCTAGTTCTATCACATCGCAGTCAGCACTGCTGATCATGATTGACTGGGGGCCCTGAAATGCCACAGGGTTTGGGGCCTTCTCCATGATTAGCTCAGATCTCTTGGTCTGCTTCTGTTTCATAAAATTGTCATTCCAATCTTCCTCTTCCCTTATCATCTTGATTAACTCCAGGAAGTTGGGAAGATGCTCCTGATCATTTGCATATATCCTGAGAAGATGCTTCAGCCTGTAGTGCAGGTCCCCATTCATATCAGCTCCTAAAAGGAGCTGGGGCAGGTGAGTCTGGTTTGCATCTTTCCCACCTATGATCTCTGCCTGAATAGCGGTCTGGAGCTGCACCTCTAAATGGATCATATAAAGGGCTTTCTCCCCTTGTGCCTGCAGGGTGTTAAAAAATTTACCATGGGCAGTGACACTGTTTTCAGGCTCCCCAAACACCAAATTCATTGCGTGCAAGAAATCTGCCACTTATAATAGATTGGGGTTGGCTGCCTGAAGCAAATGCATGACCTCCCTGGCAGGGCCCCTAAGGGTTTTCATCAGGCGCTTGAGCTTCTCCTCCTCAGGCATATTCCAATCTGGCAGGACCCCATTTACTTGGATTAGCTGGTTTTCAAAGGTTTCTTCCCCTTGGGCTGGTACCACCTTGCTGGAAAACAAATTCATGTTTCTTTCTGTCATGTTGACCCTTAAAGGACTAAGACTCCTCCCCAAGGACCTCAATATGGAATGAGCCCAAGGAGGCAAGGGTCTGTTTTGCCACCAGCTATTACCCACAAGAATAATGATGCTAGCCATGACCAAATGATCGATAATCATTCATATATATATATATATATATATATATATATATATATATATAACAAGATGTTCAGGCTTTTACAAAAGCCTAATCTGCTGGAGGAATCCCCAAAGCAATTTTCCTGGGCTCTGCCTTCCTTGCATCTCAATAGGAGCTGTAAAAAAAAGTTGGGGAAAGATCAATAAGGTAGTAGACCTCAGGGAAGCAGCCTGCAGTAGGTTTCTCAACCTTCCTGAACATCCTGCAGTACATTTTATATTTGTTTAATGCCCTAAAATTATCCTTCAGGAAACTGTCCATTACAACCTTCTGGAGCTAGGGGGGTGTCCCATGCTAACAAGGATACTTTTCAGAGCCATATCCATCCCCTCCTACCAATCCTCCAGGAGGGTGGAGAATGAACAAACTGTAGCTTGGAATTCCAGATAAAATAGTGTGTGGAGCTGAATTGGGCTCTCAAAATAGAGTGCAATGGTCTAAGTCTCACAGATTTGTGGTAATAAATAAGATTAAACTCTTAGTCTCAGTTTTCCACTATAGCCCCTTCTCAAAGTTTGCCCATTATTTCTCAGATTCTTACTAGAGCTCGAAAACAAGGGTTTTATTTCACTTCAACCTCTGCAACAGGTGCCCTCTGGGGTTGAATATTCCAGTCCTCAGGCCCTCTAGATTGCATCCTCAAGGCAGGCAAGGCAGGGAAGAAAAGAATCAGAAGCAGCTTAATTCTCTCATTCTGTTTACCACCACCACCCAACCATCCAACCACCCAACCACTGCTGTATCCAGACAGAAAATTCCCTCTCCCATCTTCTGAATACAAGCCAAAGCGATCCCTCCATTACATTTTCCCAAGGAAATCGTCAGCCTACCAGCTCTGCAATCAGCTACACAGATTTCAAGTTCTCATTTGGCTTTGAAGGCCTGACACCTAGAAAGGGAATAGGGGCTGGACCTAATACCAACCAGGATGAAAAGGACCCACCCCTAGCTCCTAACTATCCCTCCTGAAAACGACCCCCCTCCTCAGTCTAGGCAAATCCTGCCCACTAGGCAGCATCCTGTGACACCCCACTTCCTCCCTCCAGCAGGGCTATGTGAGAGCTCCTGCCCCTGCCTCACAGTTTTCCATTCCCCAAGCATGGAGCCCCCAGTCCTGGTGGAGCTTCCCTGAGCCTTTCACCGAGCCAGGCAGTCGCACCCTCTTTATTTACCTGTACTCATCCAGCAGGCAGTGGATGTTGCCCAGTGGACAGCAAGGCTCTGAGGCTCTGAGGCGGGGGTGGGGTAGGATGGTGTTTCCTAGGCACTAAACTACCTGGGGCTGCTAGAAGGAGCTGCTTTGCAAGACCGCCCAACAAGGGAGAGCTGAGTTGAGGCTGCATGGTTCCCACAGCAGCGGAGGCCTCCCCTGCCTATCCGCAGGGCCCTCCCAGCAGCCAATGCGTCTTTCAGCCTTTGCCCATTGAGACAAAAGATCATAATGAGCCTGGCGGCGCGGCCAATCAGTGGGACTCAGGGGCGGCCTCCCGGGTCAGCCTTGGCCCAAGCCATTGCTAGCAAAAGGGGGGAGCTACTGGCGGGGGCTGCAGCACACAGGCGCGAGCACCAGCGCAGAGTCAAGTGCAGCTGGGAATCACCGGACTCTGCTGATTTGCATTTTACCCGTGAGTTTGTGGCTTTTCTCTTCGCTTCTCTTCTTCTACTCCCCTTCTACCTCACTTTTCTTCTCACTCTGCGACTGGATGCATTAAACATGAGGTGAGACAGAAATCAAATGAACAATAAGAGTTCCTCACCTTTGTATAGAGGGAAGGGGGGAGCATTTATTGAGCGCTTTCTACTTGCAGATGCTCTTGCATTAATATTCATTGATTCTTCTCTGCAGCCTTGGGAAGAAGGCAGCAGTGTGCCCATTTAATAGAGATGGGTCTTAAGCGCCCAGGCAATATGGCAGGAAGCACAGAGCTAAGAGCTCATGCCCCAGTCAACATGTCTGATTTCAAAGGCTGCCTCTTGTGAACATTCCTCCCTCCCTATTCTCAGATTGAGGGTTAGTGGAGAAGAGCCAAAGTGGAGATGGGAGAGCTCACTTAGAATTATGTAGAATTAGTTCACAAAAACTTCTTTCCATTTCATAGATAAGGAAACAGAGAGGTTAGGTATGTTGCCTGGAATCACACAGCAAATAAACATCAGCTTCGATTTTGCACCCACGCCTGCTGTTCTCCAAATGCTATTTGCCCAACTGATCTTTTTTACATTGGTGTTCTCAAACCTTATCAACAGCAATCTTGGTGTGCTGGTAGTGCAGAGGGAGGGGGATGAGGAGGCTATAGGGAGAGGGGTTGGGGAAGACATGGGCAACTTTTACATTACCCATTATACCCAAGAGGAAGGTAAGGCAACTTTCTTTCTCTTTTTACACTAAAACAAACTGCCAGGTTTGGTTTTTTTTTTTTAAGTAAAACAGTATTTCTACAGCTTATGCTCCCAAAAGAGATAAAGCTCAGATGTGAAATGACACTTGAAATTACAAGGTGAAGCTAAAATTTGGATCAAATCTCTCTGATGTCACAACCCATGCTATTAACCACAGTGTAGGTACAAGGCTGGCTGTCTCAGGATCATTTTGGAAAGTTCTTGAGAAATGCAGATTCCTGAGACCTACCTCTGGGGGATTTGAATTTACTAGGACTAGGTTGGAGAGTATGATTTATATTTTTAAATACTGTCATTGTTAATTCTGAGATGTAGAGAGGTTTCCGAACCACATCAGGTGAGTAGGCCTGCTGCCAATGTACCTGTCCACAGTATATTTGTCATGAGTTGGAACTCCAGAGCAGAAATTCCTATCTAGGGTCCTTCCTGAAATTATTGGCAAAGAATTTGGACCCTCTCCATCTTTCTGAGTCCACAGCTTGATAGATTTTCAAATAAGTCGGCCACTCAGAAATGGTTAAGAACCACTTCCCTATAATCTTTCTTTGTAGCATCTTCCTCTTTCAACTTGAATATGAGAAAGAAGTGTGAGAAATGAAACACAATTTGATCTGAACCCCAACCATAGCTCTCTGTTACTGATAGAGCTCTTTCATTTCCTGGCTTCAGGACAGGTTGCTAGGTTGCCCTTCTGTGAGCTCTTGAGGGGACCTCTCATTTGCTGGATTTGCCATCACTGGCCACAGAGAAAGAGCAACTCCATGGAAACAGCATGGAGGGCTGTCCAGAGTGAATGGGTTGTGAAGCCAGGGGCTGGAAAACCTGCTCCATTTTCCATGACTTCTGGTTCTTAGAAGCAGGTCTTTACTTCACTTACGTCAATTATGGCTAGAAGGCTTCCCTGTGGTTCTTGGTCTTGACTTCTGATACTTGAAAACAAATGAACAATCTGGTTCCCTTTTACTGCTGGGCTCATCATTTTCAACCTGCCAAGGTACTTCACCTGCTCCTTTCTGCTTTCTATATTTACAGCCCAATACCTAGAGTTCCTTGAAGTAAAAAAATTCAGATTTGGAGATGAAGCACTTTTCATTTGAGGACTATAGACTTTTTCTTTTGGATGGAATAGTGAATGGGGTAGAGAGGGGAGGTAGAAAGCTCAACTTACACAGTCAGGTGTGATGCTGGCAGTAGCTCTTAGGTTTTCTTAGACTCTTGATTCTGCTCTCTGATCCCATGACAACTGACCCTGGGTTTCAGTAGATTCTTCTGTGTTTAAATTGACTTCATCACCAAATTAGGTGATCTGCAGTTGGACCTGGTGAGGGTGAATAAAATAAGATAAATAATAGATCTTAAAGCTCTGACAAAAAATAGTGAAAGAAAATGGATTGTGTAAATGTACTTGGATCTGGTCATTAGAACAAAGTGGGAGTTCTCTGCCCAAGACTGGGAGGAGGATTTGCTAATTTGGCTCCAACTGGGTACAGATCATCCTTATCTCTGGCCTTAATATATGGACTGTGTTTCAATTTTTGGCTCAATTGAGACCATATTTTCCAGTTTCCACAAATGAACGTTAATAGGCCAAAGTTTAGGAAGATAAAAGCTTTCAATTGAACAGTTGAAACAATAATGGTTGCCCTTGACTGGCTGCTTCTGTTCCAGGAACTTTCCATCTGTTATCTTATTTAAGCTTCTCAGCAACCCTGTCAAGAAAGCATGCTATTCCATTTTGCAGATCCAGAAACTGAGTTTCTGGGAGGTTAAGTAAATTGCATAAGGCCACATAGCTGGTTAGTGGAGGTACTGGGACTCCAGTGCAGGGCAGTCAAACTCCAAAGGCCATGAACAGCTATTTTCTGCTGTCTTCCAAACAAATAATTGAAAAGAACTCTGCAGATGACACAGTACATTAGACTGATTTTAGCCTTTAGAACAATGTAGTTGCAATCTTTATTCCTGGGATATCATTTTTTAAACAGAAACTACTAATATAACTCATGCAGCAACTTAAATACCAAGTACTGTGCTAAGCATTTTATATTTTTCATCTCATGAATCCTTCATGACAATAATTTTACAGATAAGCATACTGAGGCACAGAGAGGTAAAGAGACAGAGACTTGGCCAAGGTCATAAAGCTAGGAATTGGCACTGCAAAATTCAAACCCACAATGTACTGCAGTGTGGAAAACAAATATGGCCCTTATGCTAAATCATCTCTCTGTCAGCCACACCTATATCTCCTTCCCATGGTCTGCATTCAGCGCCATGCACTACTTATACTTTTAGGCCACAGTGTCTAAGGGCTCTTCCTCAGCCTAAAATATCTGCCCTCATTCCTCTACTTAATGAGGGTCTGCTTATTGGTTAAGGATCAAGTCAAATGCCCCCCTTGAAGAAAAAAAATTTGGCTGCTCCCTGTCCCAGGAGGAATACATAGCTTTTGCCTTTCTACTCTGTCTTTGATTGCACACTTTATTTTGCTTTCTAGTATAGATTAGCTCATTGTTAATCTGTCTATCCCTCTATATTCCCAAGCCCTTTAGGGCAG